ATTTAGGAACATATGGCTAGTAACTTTATGGGGTAAAAGGGTCAAGTAAATTGCATTTTTATAGCTGGGCACCAGTGGCTTATACTCCTTGTCTACTCAGGAGGCTGAAATATGAAGATCTCAGTTTGAAGCCAGCTGAGCAAGAAAGTCCTTCATCTCCATTTAATCACCAAGAAACCTGAAGTGAAGCTATGGCTCAAGTGGTAGAGTATCAACCTTATGTGATAAAGGGACAGTGCCCAGGACCAGAATTCAAGCCCCAATACACACACACACACTCTCTCTCTCTCTCTGTCTTTCTCTCTCTCACACATACAAGCACATAGAGCATTTTGTGAACCATAAAACACTGTACATGCGAAAAGGCTAAAGGACTCATGTTCTTTAAATTTCTAAAGACATTTAGAACAATTTGGAGACTAGGTCTAGTGCGAACCTTTTATTTTGACAAAAAAGAACTTTACAATCTGATTCTACATTCTCAAACTTTGAAACTTTCACTTACTTACAACAGTGAAAGAAAAGGCAACCGAGACTCCATTATTTCAGACATAAATAAAGTAGTAGCAGACTAGGCTCATTTCATTTGACAAACCATAAAAATAGCGCCATTTATCAATTCCAAGTGTACTTATGTGAAACACACAGAAATACTTGTTTTAAAATTAGTCTCATGCCCATTAACATCTAAGTGTTTGACATATGTATTCTCATTACCAATAGGCACAACTTTATGAATATCAAATTACTTACATCACTTTTATAATCTTGATTTGAGAAATAAAAAACAAGACGAATTTATAGTTACACAGTTGAAAATGTTACACTTACTGCACATAGCAAGTTATGACCAGGAATGCTAGGAGTTATCCTTAGGAATGACTTAAAAATTTAACATCTTATTGGAAAAATTGGAGCCTAGTGCTAGGCATGGTAATGCACAGCTGAAATCTCAGCTACTCTAGAAGTAGAGGGAGGAGGATCTTGAGTGAGGCCAGCACAGTGGTTCACAAAAAAGGGCAGGGTGTGGCTGGAATGGTAGAGAGCTTGACCAGCATACTTAAGGCAAATGGTTCAATAACCAGCACCACAAAAAAGACCAAAAGAAAATCAGCTTGTTATAAAATTGGCACCTCTAGTGTGAAATGCAAGTTAAATGACACACTTTTATCTAAAGATCTAACAAATGATAGATTTTTATGCAACTGGTTACAAAGGATTAGTATTCATTGTTTAGCAGAATTTTTAGGTGGTCTGAAACATACACAAATCCTAAAACAAAAGGCACACAATGGAAAATAGCTTATATACCTTCATCCATGTAAAAACAAATTTAACTGTCATTTAGAGACGTGACAAACTTGTTATAAGATTTTGTTAGCTGGAAAATTAAAGATCTATGAATCAAAAGCTGTGGCTCTGTGAAATCTACCCTAAAGACTATAGCAACTTAGACCCCAGCAATTTAGACCAAAAAGATAAGGCAGGACTCAAATTATTCACCTATAAAATTTTCTCATCTTTCACAGAAGATTTAATATGCTTGTGAGTTACATTTTAAAATAATTATGAAGTCACTTACTCTACCACAAATGAATGAAATGTAACTAAGAATCACACTATACAAGTTTCTAATGACATTTTTCATTTATATAATGAAATTCAATAGCTAGCAGCATTTAAATATAGACATAATCCCTCTTATAAAGTGCTAGTTTTAACTGGGCAGACTTACTACCCAGCTTTTCAGTAACTACATCATAGCTCCTTGAGTGAATTCAAAAAAATATGGGGAAATTAAAAGGTTTGGAATATAAAACACTTGCAAAATGTTGCTACAAAACATAAGACTAAATGTATTCATAAAATTAAAGTCCCTTACATGAGAATCATTAAGTTGATTTAATAATTACTTCACAGAAGCATAGGCTGACTTTTTGTGTCAATTTTCACTAATTGTCTAAACTAGCAAAGGTTTCTATTAAATAACTCTAAGCACCTAAGAGTTATGCCAAATAGAGCCAAGGTTTATATGATCCTTAGAATAAAAACCTTAGCAAAGTTAAGACTTTTATAACAAGCTAGTGACAATCAAGAGGCAATATTTTACGCAAAAGTACCACAGGCTGCTATTCTTTTCTTTAAATAAAGCCTTGTACCATCATTTGTAATGTACCGTGACTACAGTAAGTTAAAATAAAAAAGGCAACTGAACTACTTACAATACAAACAGGATTCCAATATTATTCACATTATTACTCTGGGCTCTCATTAGTACTTCTGCATTTCAATTGATGTCCATCAGTAGTACCTTAAAAAGCAAATGCAACTAGTGGGGGAAAAACATAAAGTAGCACAGTTTTGTTCACACTTAAAATCTGCAAGCTTCATCACAATTTACATTCTCTCTCTCTCTCTTGTTCCCCTCCTTGCTCTAGGAAAAGTAACTACTTAGAAAAACAGCTATGTAAAAGTACTATATTCGTTACTTTGTTTATACTAAGTGTATCAGTAATGGTTAAGCAAAGGAACTCTCAGTCATCAATTCTCCGCGGTTGAGATTTCTAGTGTCTAAACAGATATACTCTCCTAGGGACAATGACTTCAGGTCTCCAGAGTTGAGTGAGGAAGAGGCACAGGTCAATTCACTTCCCAGGAAAAAAAAACCAAAAAGCTAGTTCTGAGCGAATTCCCACCCACCCATTCCAAAGCTTACGCCAGTGAATTTGGCCTCGGACTTGTAGTGGCACTACCTTTACCTATCCCTAATGTTTATAGTGAAGACAAACCTTAGTATTAAATTATTATTTTTACCCAAATACATTGGATTTCGGTCTCAATTTGAAGGAGGATGAGTGGCCTTTAAGAGCCCTTTCCTCTTCCTCCTCCTCCCCTTCCTCCAAGGGCTGCTCAGGGTCCCTAAAAGAGGGTGTGGTGTGGATGATTTGGGTTCTGAAGCGAATTTTGTTGAGTCGGGGTTTTATCCTTCCACTAGAACTGCCAGAGGATTTGCGACCTGGATCTTTTGTTTTTCCTCCAGGCCAGCCTTCAGCCTGGTGGTGGTGGTGATGGTGGTGATGATCCACGCCATCCTCCAGGACGTGAGAAAGTTTGTAGGTAATAAGATGAGACGGGAGTACCTTCGAAAGTCTCCAACGCCCACCTCCGCTGACAGTGGCACTCTCACCGTCCTCCTCATCCAGTGCTCCCACCAAGTTTTTAATCTCCTCCGTGATGCTCTGACTCAGATACTGAGAGGCCTTTTTCCCACTGTAATCTCTGATGTCCACGTCCGCGTCGTAGGCCCCCACTAGTAACTTCACCACCTCCACATGCCCGTGCATGGCTGCTAAGTGTAGGGCAGTGTAGCCCCCGCTCGTTCTAGCGTTGATGTTCACCGGCAGCTGGTGTTTGTTGGCAAAGTTGACCAGCATGGCTAGGAGCTCCTGCTTGCCGTGCTTGGCGGCCCAGTGAAGGCAGGTGAAGCCGGTGATGAAGTCTCGCTTCGCCAGCAGGCCGGGTTCACAGGTGAGCAGCCCTTCTAGGCTGTCCCACTTGCCGTCCGAGGCCGAAAGCATCCAGGCGTGCTCCAGCGGATCCAGGGTCACCGAGCCTCCGCCGGTGCTCTCCTCCTCGGCGGACGAGGAAGCCACCGAGGCGCTATCCGAGTCTCCCCCGCCTCTGCTGCGTCCTCCCCCGGAGACGCCGATGCCCTGGCTGATGCCCCCAGGGCACCCGCTCCTCTTCAGCTGAGGGGAGTGCCCCATCACCAAGTCCCGGAAGTTCTGGCGAATCGATCTCGAGGTGGTGAGCCCACCGGGAAAGCTGCCTCCGTCCGCCTCCGGGTCGTGGTGGGGCGGGGGCTCCGGGTCCTCGTGAGGCTCGGGGGCCGGGGCCTGGACTTCGCGACCTGAGTCCTCTCCGCCCAGGGAAGGTTCGCCATCGTTCGGCTCTCGGCCGGGCCCAGGGGGCGCCTCGGGGCCCGCCGCCTCCTCGGGGTCGGCTGCCTCGGGACAAGGAGCGTCTTCCCCGGGCTCGGCAGGGGGTTCCGGGGCCTCGGCGGTCACCTCGATTCGGGGCGGGTCCCCGAGCCCCGCGGCTTCGGGCTGAGGGGTCCCCGTGCAGAACCTTTTCTTGAGATACACGTACTTGGCGCCGTCCGCAGGGTCGGTGCGCACGGTGGCCACCGCGTTCACCAGCTCCTTGAAGCGGGCGCGGGCGCGGGCGCGCTGCTCCGGCTGGCCGCCCAAGGAGCCTCGGAAGTGCTGCACCAGCTCGGCGTGCTGGGCCCGGCCCCCGCGCTCCGCGAGGAAGCGCCACACCGCCTCGGGGCCCAGCTCCGCCTCCGGGCTCGGCTCCGCGGCTCCCTCCATCTGCGGCCGCTGCACCTTCTCCACCGCGCGGGAAGTTTAGCCCGGCGCCATGGCGGCAGACCCAGAGATGGTGAATTCTAGTCAGACCGGCAGGGCTCCACGAACGGTTCGGAGTCGGCGGGGCCGCACGACGCTGTCACCACCTCACAGAGGCCGCGCCCGGGAGGACACGCCCCCCGGCAACGCCCCTGCCTGTCTGCCCCACCCACTTCCGGTCTCTTCGGGGGGGAATGGAGGGGCCGCAATCAGTGCTCCGGCCAGCGGAGGGCCCCGCCCACTTCCGGTCTTCGCGTGGGTTCGCAATCTCGGCTGCAGCCCGCGCAAACTAGACTAGTCTGGCGCTACGTCCTCGCCCCTCCTTCCTCGCGCCACATCTCTCCGCCGACCGCCGTCCGCACGGACTTTCCTTACCGTGAACGTCCCAGGCCACCGGGGGTGGGTGGGGGGAGCGGGGGGGGGCGGAGGGAGGGAGTGGCTTGGCTGGACACGCGGGAAACTCTCGACTCAGTCAATGGCTGGTCTCGCCGGCCTCCCCGGGCTCGGCCCCGCCCCTCCCCGGAGGCGGCCCCGCCCCTTAACGGCCGCGGCCGCGCCCGGCTGCTCCCCGCGCCCCTCCCGTTACCTCGCGCCTTTCCTCTAGTTGCCGCCGGGAAGCGCGCTCGGGGCCCCCGGGTGGCACTGCCGCTGCGCTGCGCTGCGCTCCGCGGGGGCCATGGCCTCCTCCGACGAGACGCGGCTCCTGGTGAGCCCGTCACACTGCTCCTCCTACGCCGCCGCCGCCGCCGGGACCGCTTTCGGCGACCCGCGACCCTCCTGTTCGCACGGAGCTCCTCTCATGTCTCCTCACTCGGTGCGTCCGGCCCCGGACGGGTGGTGACCGGCGTGCTGCCCCCGGGGTGCGCGCGGCGGGGTCGGGGGAGTTGAGGGGCGCGGCCGGGCGCGGCGGCCGGGACTCCCGGGAAGTTGCGGGGTCGGGGTTTGCTTTTGGCCCGGTGTCCCAGACGGGGAAAGTCGGCCGGGAAGGGTGGGTACGGGGACGTCCCTTCGCTAACGGATCTCGGAACCCGCGATGTGGATGGGAGAGCGGTGCGCCAGCGTCCGGGCGGCCTCGCCAGCGCGCCCCGTTCTTTCCCGCCGCTCTCCGCACCGCCTCCCACCCTCCACCCCCGCGTGGGCGCCCTGGTTCCCCCCGGACCCCCCCGGGGACTCCTTGCTCCAGTGTTTTTATGCCTTTCAGGTCCTAAAGTGGTCACACAGATCATTTCATAACAGGGCCAAGCTGTGACTTGCCCTTGGTCACTCCCTTCTTCGGGGGACCGCGTGGAAAGGTGGAAGGAACTTCCATTCCCTTCCAGTGGAATGGGTCTTTGTGTGTGTTTTCTTGCGTGTTACGACGTCTTTCCGTTTCTGCAATAAAAGACCAACGGTTGGCACGTGTAGACACAAAAGTTTTTGCGAGGCCGTAAAGTGTGAGAACTGCTGGACTCAGCTGTCTCCTACGAGAAGTTTTGGCTGTAGGAATAGTTTGCTGGTGTGATTGGTCTGAAGTCATGATTGGCTTCGTAGTGATCACTGATTCTGTCCTGGTCTCTCTTTCCACTCTTGCATGTTTTTAGATAGTTAAACAAGGCTCAGTTTTTCTGTCTGTACTGCTTTTTTTTCCCTAAAAAATACAGTTCCTGAGTTTGTGAGAGGAATAGCTGGCAACGTGTGTTTTTCAAACTAATTCAGAGTATGGTTCAGTATTAAGTTTGACAGAAAACCATTGAATATTGAACTGACTGTTAATAGTAGGTACATAATTTGATTTATATATTTTCTATTAAGCCTTCAATTTTGACATAACTGTAGGTTCACATGCAGTTGTAAGAAACATTGTACTGTGATTCCATGTACTCTTCCCAGTTTTCCTCAATGTATGGCAGTATAGTAACATTGTAGATGTTGGCTGTGGTACAAGAAAGACAGAGGACCTTTTCTTCTTTTTTTTTCCCTCCAGTACAGGGAATGGAAACTAGAGCCTTGCACATGCCAGTGTTCTGTCACTGAGCTACATGCTTAGCTTTACAGAGGATCTTTCTGTCACCACAAGGGTATGTCATCCTGCCTTCTTATAAATACACACACCTTATTCTTCTCCCACCTCTTCCTTAACCCCTGACAAACAGTAATTTGTTTATCATTTCTGCAGTTTTGTCATTTCTAGACTTGTATAAGTTACCTACTAATTGGGATTGAATGTTTTTCACTCAGCAAAGATCTCCAGAGATTGATCCAAGTCGTTGCAAGTATCAATAGTTTGCTGAGCAGTGTTTCAAGATACCCACATAGGTATAACATACTTTGTTTGAAGGACATTTAGGGCTAATATGAATAAAGTTGCTATAATTATTACATCATAATCCGTTTTGAGTTCTCTGGAATAAAGTCATAGGAATATTGCTGGGTTCTGTTGGCAGTTGCATATTTAGCTTTATAAGAAACTGCTGAATGTTCCTACCAGCAGCATATAAGAGCTCCAGTTTTTCCATATTCTTGTCAACATTTAGTGATGTTGTTACTATTTTTAGCCATTCTGGTAAGTATGTGATAGCTCATTGTGACTTTATATTTCCTCTTGCTAGTGGTACTAGACATCCCTTTTGTATATATATTTGCCATATCTTTGGTTTGCTGTCTCTTAATTGTTTTTTGCTCCATTTTCTGAGTAGATTACCTTTTTCTGTGAGTGTAGAGAGTTTAAAATTTTTTTAGGGGCTGGGAAGGTGGTAGAGTGTTTGCCTTGCATGCCTGAGGCCCTGGGTTCGATTCCTCAGCACCACATAAGCAAAAAGGAAAAAACCGGAAGTGGCGCTGTGGCTCAAGT